TATAATGGGGAGAAGAACTCTGACACCGAAGCAGTGGACAGCATGCAGACTTTGGTTAGTGTATTTTCCACTTTGATAATAGATTTGTTTTCTTGATTCTATTTTCATTCTCCATTGTCTCTTTTGCTGTTGTGTGCATTCTCTCTCTTACATGGTTTCACTTCCTCTTCTCCCTCCAATTTTGTCTTCAGAAGACAACAATAAAAATAAAAATGAAGTTCATAGGAAGTCGTTGCACTTTACAGCTTCATGACCTACATGCACCACTTTTACTTCTCCTGTGTCTGTCAAACGTAACTGTGGGAAACTGATAACTGGATTAGAAGAAGAAACCGATCCAGTGTGTACAAAACTTGAAACACTGCAACACAGCCGCAGTACCATATTTCCCTTAGCTCAACTTCTTGTAGGACCTTTATCTTTACCTGTACCTTTTATCATAGTTTCCGTTTGCACATGACCCTCTTCTCTTTGACTTTTTGCAGTTAAAGTGCTGCGGTGTCAAGAATTACACCGACTGGACCAACACCACCTATTTTTCTACAAACAAAACGCTGCCTTTGTCCTGCTGTAAGAACTCCTCATCGCCACAGTGCAATGGCAAACTGGAAGAAAAGGACCAGTTTAACACTGAGGTGAATCACACTTGAGTCACACGTGTTTGTCTTTCTCTGGACTGTACGATGTTTACTCTGACTGCGTGTTCACCTGCAGTTTGGATACTTCTGTCATTCAGTCTCAGATTTATTTATTTATTTTTTTTTTTAATGATTAAAAAAAATGTTATTATGACAGTTTTTAAGTCTGCAAAAACTCCCAGCAGTAAAGGCAACAAAAAAGGAGCTAAAGTCAAGTAAATACCTTTGATGTGCATGTACTGTATGTATACTCACAACGATTGTGTATGTGTTTTTAGGGTTGTGAGCCCAAGCTGGAGAAGTTCATACAGGATGTTCTGACCTACGCCATGCTGGTCGTTGTTGCTTTTGCCATCATCAAGGTAAGACCAAGCTTAAATGTGGATTGGCAGGTAAATGAGGATATGTCATTGACCTGCGTCTTTCAAACTCTGAAGTGCATGGATTTGTTAACTTAGCACTTGTGTGATCATTTTGTCTTCTATGTGAAGAAAAAAAAATGAATTGTTAAAGAAATTCTAAAAAAATAAAATAAAATTCCTGCAAGCATGTCTGTATTATTGTAGGGTGTTACATAATTCAATTTTATATATAAATATATATTTCAAGGGGTTTTTTTTTTCACTCAGGAAGCCAAACTTTGTGATAGGTTTGTAAGATAAAAAATTTCATCCCCCTTATTAGTCGGTTCATGTAACCTAAACAGAAAACGTATTTTAATTGGGTCTCTGATCTTTATTTTTTCCTTTTCCAGTTTTTTGGGATGGTGAGCGTGTGTGCGATAACCTGTAAAAGCCGAAGGAATGGTTACGAACCCCTCTACGCTTGAAACAGTTCCCGCAACCTCCCACTGTACCTCCTCCTCATTTAGCTCCACTGGGATGTCTGAGTGCTTGCTCTACATTGCACAGAAGCATCTGTTCGTTGTGCTCTTCT